GCAAAGCTCTCTGTCTACCGCGCCATTTTCGTTCCTACCCTCACCTATGGTCATGAAGGATGGGTCATGACAGAAAGAACGAGATCGCGGGTACAAGCGGCCGAGATGGGTTTTCTCCGCAGGGTGGCTGGTGTCTCCCTTAGGGATAAGGTGAGAAGTTCGGTCATCAGGGAGGGACTCGGAGTTGAGCCGCTCCTCCTTCGCGTCGAAAGGAGCCAGTTGAGGTGGTTCGGGCACCTAGTTAGGATGCCACCTGGGCGCCTCCCTAGGGAGGTGTTCCAGGCACGTCCAGCTGGGAAGAGACCAAGGGGTAGACCTAGAACCAGATGGAGGGATTATATCTCTTCGCTGGCCTGGGAGCGCCTTGGGATCCCCCAGTCAGAGCTGGTTGATGTGGCCAGGGAAAATAAAGTTTGGGGCTCTCTGCTGGAACTGCTACCTCCGCGACCCGACCACGGATAAGCGGGAGAAGATGGATGGATGGCTTCAACGATAGACTCAGTATTCTTTTTTTGTTGAAATATGTCGCTATGTGAAAGCAGCACTAAGAATACCGACATACAGACATACTGTATGTGGAGCAGACATTATACAGAAGGTGATCACAGCGACACTGTGTGTTTGTCGATGCTTTAGCTAAGTGTGACTTCATGGCAATGATTCAGATATGATCAAAGCTAAACGGAGATGTTATAACAAAATGAAAACACAGCGGATTTCTCACACCACACGTGTATTTTTTAAAATATTCTGTTTTTCTAACGTGTAATGAATCCTAATGAATTATGTATTTGTATTGTAATTAACACGATAAAAAATGTTTTTGAATGTATTTATTTTTCTTTCTATTTTATCTGTTAACTCCTAACCAGTGAAGTAAATAGTTAATACAGCAGTTTATTGAATTCAATAAAGTAGAAAAGGGCATTATCTAGCAGGATATAGAAGGACATAGCTCACCTAATGGCAGCCTCCTGCAGTCTAATTGGTTGTCTGCAGCTGAGGTAGGGCAGGCAGGCCTCACAGACAGCATCCAGCTCTGCATCACCTAAAGAAAAACAAGAAAAAGGGACCGTTTCTACATCTCATCCTCCATATCGTCTTTAAGAGCCAAATATCAAACGGCATACAGATGTATTTGTCTTCGCAGGACCAATTAAAAAAAAAAATGTAATCAGAATACATTTCAGGCCAATATTTATACACCATTTAAATACTGTGCCCAAATGTCCACACGTTCCCAGCACACAGACGGTAGACTGGAAAGTGAAGAAGGAAAAGAGAAAAAGATTAAAGAGAGGGAAAGAAGAATTCTGCCTGGACTTTACCTTTTCCTGCTCCTCCTAATGAGCTGAGAAACTGCTGAGAAGGCTGAGGAAACATTTCACAGCGGGCTTTTTCCACATCTCTGGATTTCACACATCCATCCTGCCCCTCTTTGAGGAGCGAAAATGGCCTCCTTTTCCACCATCCTTCATCTTTTCTTTCTTCACTTCCTGCAGTTTTATGCCACCTTCTTTATATGTACCTTTTTACAGCTCCCTCCATCCACTTGACTGCTATCCACTCTTTCATCTCTCCCTTCATCCTTTCCTAGCAGACATTTAGTGATTCCCTAAGCTGCAAACTGGGCTGCCTTTCAAGCCTCATTTCAAAACACGTCTCTCTCCCTCTCTGCTTACTCCGTTTGCCAATTCTACCCACTCGGCTTGAACCAGGCCTACGTGCTGTGTGTCAAGAATAAAAGCAGCGGTTCACATTTCAGAGGTAAATGGGATTATTTAGCGGCCGCTTTTAACCCTTTTCTTCCTTCCTCTTTCTGGCGCTGCACTCCTAGCCTGTAGTGTTTTGTGGAATCAAGGTGCATGCAGGAAAGTGGGAAAGAGAAAGAGGGACAGGTGTCAGTAGGATTTGTGGTACATGGATAACAGGGTGGAATTGGAGCTGAAGCTGCTGCTGAAACACATTATTTGCTTCAGTCAATCTGTGTTTCTGTCTTCCTCTCTCTGTGACTGAGGCTGGGTAATTGGCTTGCTGCAGGCGTCCCTGAGGTAAGCTGTAGCCAAATCGGTATTCACATGAGTAAGGCTGCAGCTTCGCTCCTGCTCTCTCACATTCTCTCCTTCTTCAACTCCAAATGTTTCCCCTTCAGATATGAAGGAGGGCAGCGTCGAGTGCCAGTCAGAGAAGCCAAATCTTAAAAGCAACACGTTTTTACCTCATGTCATTCCAGATATAAGAGGGTTTTAACCAAAACATTTTAAAGAGGCCCTATTCTGCTTTTTTGGGTCTTCCCTTTCCTGTGGTGTGTTACATAGGTTTTAATGCATGTAAATGGTCTGCAAAGGTTAAAATCCCAAAGTGCCCTCCTGAAGGAGTTACTCTCCCCTTTGTTTACTTCCTCAACATAGTGACATCACTATGTAGTTCCCCATATTGGCTAGCACTCAAACACATTGAACATGAGGTACGGGAAATCTCTAAGCGGTTGACCAATCAGAACTGAGACAGTCAGCTAACCAATCAGAGCAGACTTGGTTGTGGTTTCAGACAAAGGGGGAAAGGAGGTGCTGCAGCACAGCAAAACAAGTCCACTGAGTACACATACCGTATTAGGCCCACAGAACAAGGCCTAGTGGGCCGACAGGACCAAACACGAGTAGCCAATGGACGGACAACCAATCCTTGAGTCATGCAGCTTGCACGCCACAAAGTCAACCAGCCCCTCCTCTAACAGGTTAAGTGGCACTATCACACAGCCTGCAGCCCACTACCAGCATATGACAGTATGGCACTAGTGCTGCAGTGGACCGATCCAGAAGTTTGTCTTGCACTTTCCCCCTCTGCAAAAAGGTAAATGGGGTTTTTCCATTGGATTTCCGAGTATTACCTCAAAATAGATCTGTGGCAAACATACATTAATTATACATAACACGTTTTGTTCAGCCGAAAAATCTCCACATATTGACACCACTTTTATATTTGAAGAGTAAATGCTATCGGCATAAGTACCCTAACCACTGCTTTATTAAATGCATTAAATCAAAGTGGATACTTCCAACAATGGACCAAAGCAAGTTATTCAAAGCTGGTGCGAAGTTCTCTTAATCACACTTGCATTTAATAAAAAGAGAAAAGAAACAGAAGCAAACTGAAATGTAAGATGAAAAGTAATAAAGGGGGGTTATAGATTAATTGGACTGCTGAGCTAGTAACTTCATTTGGAAGTATGTTCATTTTCATGATGAATTCTAGTGAATTTAGCGTCGATCAGAGAAGGAGCGTCGATCAGAGCAGGAGCACCTCATCTGGCAGTGCTTTTACTCATCCGCCTCACGGAGCGTGGAAAGTCAGGGGCAGGGCTGCCTCTCTTCCGCCGGTGTGGAAAGGAGGATTTGCACCGAGGGCATTGCGGAGTGGCCTGAACGTTCTCAGCGTTCGGGCTGGGGCCTGCTTTCTGCCTGTCTTGTACTGCTGTAGCGGAGGCCTGCGTCCACCTGTACTGTGCTGCTTGAGGAGGATTTGCACTGGAGAAAATCGAGAGAGACGGGCCGTCTCCACGTTCGGGCTGGGGCCTGCTTTCCACCTGTCAGTTTCTGCTGTAGCGGAGGCCTGCTTCCACCTGTCGTGTGCTGCTGTGCTGAGGAGGAATTACCCTGGGGACATCGTGGAGAGACCGGAGCACCTCCACGTTCGGGCTGGGGCTGTGCTGAGGAGTATTTGCCCCAAAAACATCACGGATGCTGTGCTGGTCTGGGACCCCCCTTGGCATTTCATGTGGCCGGACTGGGTCAGTTTCCAGGGCTGATTTTTTGTCCCAGTCCGCCCCTGCATGGGGGGGGTATATTCTAAGGAGTCTGCAATGGTTATGGGAAGGGGATCCAATTCTGAATGTCTTGTTGAATGAAGTGTTTTCGGACTAAGGCACCCCACAAAAATTCACTGGGTTGTCTTATTTTACAGTATGGGTAACTACCAGAAAACCTATATGCACAATTAATAACAATGTGAGAATGTTTATAATATGTCCCCTTTATATTGTTAAATTTGAATACCTGTCTGCCTGTATTTCAATATATGCGTGTCTTTTGCATATAATATTCTATGTAAGAATTGTTTGTTGTATGAGAGTAAGATACCATGTTGTTTTTATAGATACAAAATAAATTAAAAAAAGATCCGTTTTCACTGAGATTTTATAATCCCACAAATCTGTCCTGCTTCAGGAGGAAATTATTTCAATAATAAGATTAATGTAATTTACAGTAGGCAAATTCCCTTATATTTGCATATCTTTAAATCAGAATTAAATATGTTTTCACTTCAAAAGCACAAATAATGAATCAGAGCAGTTTCAAACCATTGTGTGCAGATGTATTGCAGCTACACCCCATAACGCACTTATTGCATTCTCTTTGTCCTTGGAAAAAGAAGTGATTATGATCATCACAAAAATTAATAAAAAGGCTTCTTATCACTGTTTGCAAACCACCACTTCTTACTGAAATTAATGAGCATGTCATGTTCATTACATAGTTTGAAAAACACTTATACAATCAAACCGGCACACAAAAAAGAAACCAAACTGGCTCATTTGGGGTTCAGGTTGCTCAGATTTTCCAATGCCACTGTGTGACAGGGACATGGCTGCTTAATGAACACAATGATCTATGAAAAATTAAACAAGCAGCTCCTAATTATATCATTAGTAGCACACTGGCAATGAGTCCCCAGGACACCTTTGGCTGAAACCTTCCAGTACTGAAGCTATGCCATGCACAATTGTAAAAAAACATATTGCATTTTTGAGTTAATTCATTAAATTCCCTCCAACCCTGTCGCTTCTTGATTCGCTGATTGCTGTGCAGATTTGACAGCTTGATTGTGGTGAAATGGAGCTTGAGGGAGAACAGTTGCCTGCAGCACTTATCCAGAGTGCATGTAAGGATTCTGCAGCATCCTGCTGTCTCAGTTGGCTACGGTCTGCAGTCAAGTTCCCATCAGCAAAAACACGTCGGTTTGCTATCCTGGCTCCAAAATGGTGGAATGAGCTCCCCATTGAAATCAGGAAAGCAGAAAGCTTACACATCTTCTGGCGCAAACTGAAAACTCATCTCTTTAGACTCCACTTCGAGCGATAGAATTACTAACAAAGCACTTATATACTAATAAAGGGCTGGCTTATCTAAAGCCAGTTGAGTAGCACTTGAAATGTTTTAGCTCTATGAAACCTTATGCACTTATATGATTCTGTTTTCTTCAAGTTTGTATCTTGTTAGTCGAATGCACTTATTGTAAGTCGCTTTGGATAAAAGCGTCAGCTAAATGCAATGTAATGTCTCTAAAGTTGTCTTTAAAATATGTTGAATTTAAGCCCTGCAACAGCTGGGAACCCTTCCTAGTCAGGAAACTCCTCTACGGGTACTGTGCCATTTTATATCTGAGTGGGAATGACCTAAGTGTTGAAGAGTGTAATGCAAGGGGCATGCTGGGTGCTGCTGGGAATAAAACATTACTGATCTAAGTAGTTAAGGAAAAATCTGAAAGTGTATTGTCTGTCATGAAGAAACACTGCCTTGTTCCAAATAGTGACCCACACCAAAAAGTACACTATGGTATGAATAATAAGAGGGTCAGCATCTTAAGTTCTCTGCCTCACATTTTATAACCGAATCACATATTCAAAGAAAACAAAGCAGGGAAATGGAGAAACACAAACTGCTCCCATAATACTCCTGACATATTTGTACCGTTAAACAAGACTGCCATCTGCTGATAAAACAAGTTACTGTTTGTGTGTCCTGGGTTCAAGACTCAGTGACCGAATCCCAGAAATTAGGTGGCTTTTGTGGCTGGGAGCAGAAAAGTTTTTAATTCCATCAATATTTAGTGTAGAATCAATTAAACTAAATATATATTTTAAGGTACAACAAGTAGTCCCAGCAGTATTTATCTTTCTTTTTATTTGAGCTTCCACATGTCTTTTCATGGCGATAAAGACTTCATGACAAGGTTGCCAGATATAATACTCACAGGGAGCCAAACAAAAACCTAGGACTGTTAGTCAGAAATAATATATAGCCTCTTAAAATCTCAAATTGTCTTATTTTTATTCTTTTAACATTTTTTCAAGCATTATTTATTTTCAGGTTAAAAAAAACAAGGTACTTTTAAATGACTAAATAACACTGCTTCAAACCTTTTGTAACTGTAGGCAATTTGACTTTAGGCAGATTTGGTCAGTCATTGACCTCAAGTCTTTACGCCTTCCTTTACTGACCCTATCCTGCCTAAAGCTTTATACTATAAACTATTCCTTTAATACAGAAGTATAATATACCATTTGTTAAATGAGGATTATTTAAAATAAGGCTGCACAAAGGATGATTTTGCATGAATCTTTATGATTGAAGATTAGACCTTGTAATGGCTTGACTTTCAGAAATATCATTTTGGTGAATTATCAGAGCTTAAATTATGTCAGAGCCTTAAGTAACTATACTATAACAAATAATATGTAATTATTTATAGAGTAGGTTCCAATAATCTATCCTGAATATGTTGTTGCTCAAATTGCAATAATGTTGCACCAACTTTCTAGAGGAAAAGTACGGTGTCAAGGCTAAATTAACCATGATCAAGTGACCACTTGTATCTGGTATGATCACTGTGATATTATGGATCATACCGTGCACAATCATAGAGGAGGATAGTGAATGGTGTGTCTTTGGCAACCTGTGTGTGTGTGTGTTTATTCTCTTACCTAGACTCAGCCTCTGGCACAGGGAGCCGAGGCCCTGCAGCACAGCCAGCTGCAGTTTGTAGTTCAGAGTGTGTGTGTAGACGGGCCCGGCCTTGGCGCTGGTCGGGGCCTGCCGCAGCAGAGAGGAGCTCAGCTTGGGCAAGACCTCTTTGGAGACCCTCCTCCTCAGGAAGTCGCCACATGTCTCACCCAGCGTACACAACACCTGGCAGAAAGAAAATGCACATCAAAATGGATAAAATGTCGATGCAGTGTGTTCTTTGTTGACAGATCTGACAAATGACACTATATTTACAGAAACATGGAAGAAACCCAAAAGCTTCAGTTACTAAATGACAGGATACAGATGTCTGATGTTGTCAATTCATCAGGGAACATGTGACAAAAATAAATAAAAACTGTCAAACTTAAGACTAATTCACGTTGACAGTAGGATCAATTGACACCTGTTCTTTGCAAAATGATCACAAACAAGTGTGATCTTTAACCGAAAGGCTTTGATTCTCTGAAATACTTAATCAGTCAGCTCTTGGGAAGAAAGTCAACCAAAGAAAATGATGTTCCTGTCTTGTTAGAAATGTTTTGAAATAAGATTTATGTATACTGATTATCGTTAACAGTTTTCAGGAAAAGGCTTGTTTGTTTTTTTACAATCATGATTACAACTGAGTAAAGTGCCGCTTGTTTTACGTACCCTGAAAGCTCGGAGGACCGCTAAAGGCTCATCGGCTGTGAGTCTCTGCAGGAGGGGGGGCCAGCAGCGATGGGCCATTGGCAGCAATTCATTTTCTTTCTCACTGAGTACACACACACACAGCTCCAGCACATCTAGCACCTGAGGAAAGAGACACGCAGTATATACAGGACTGTCTCAGAAAATTAGAATATTGTGATAAAGTTCTTTATTTTCTGTAATGCAATTAAAAAAACAAAAATGTCATACATTCTGGATTCATTACAAATCAACTGAAATATTGCAAGCCTTTTATTATTTTAATATTGCTGATTATGGCATACAGCTTAAGAAAACTCAAATATCCTATCTCTAAATATTAGAATATCATGAAAAAGTATACTAGTAGGGTGTTCAACGAATCACTTGAATCGTCTAATTAACTCGAAACACCTGCAAGGGTTTCCTGAGCCTTGAAAAACACTCAGCTTGGTTCAGTAAACTAAATCACAAGTATGGGGAAGACTGCTGATCTGACTGCTGTCCAGAGGACCGTCATTGACACCCTCCATCAGGAGGGTAAGACACAAAAAGAAATTTCTCAAAGAGCAAGCTGTTCACAGAGTGCAGTTTCAAAGCACATCCACAAAAAGTCTGTTGGAAGGGGGAAATGTGGCAGGAAACGCTGCACAACCAAGAGAGATGACCGCAGCCTTAACAGCATTGTGAAGAAGAGTCGCTTCCAGAATTTGGGGGAGCTTCAAAGACAGTGGACTGAAGCTGGAGTCCAGGTATCAAAAG